CCCCGCCCCCCCCCTGGCCCGCCCCGTGCCGCAGAGCCCAGCCCCGGGCCCCAAAGCCACGCCCCGAGGCCCCGATTCCTTCCCCGGCCGACGAAGCCCGGCCCCGCTGCCCCGGGGCGGATCCGGTCTGTTGGGCGAGGGGGGCGCCGTCTCCGGGGCGGGCAGGACCGGGGCGGAGGACGACGGCGGACGTGATGAAGATGCGCTGTGGGAGTGTGGCCGGCTAAAATCCACAGCCTTTGTGTGAATGACCGAGAGTTAAGAAAGGAGAGAGGCGCTGACCAGCTGTGCGAAGCACGGGGCGGGCGAGGAGCCGCAGCTCTCCACCCCTGCAGCAGGAAATCCCGGCCCGCGAGCGCTGCAGGGCTCCTCTCCGTGCCATCTGTAACAAACTTAGCTAGGTGCATGTTCCCCCAAATTGTTCCGTGCAGCTTTTCCCCTCACAGGACGTTTATGAGCTTGCTTCTGTCCTCTCGGCGACATTGTATCTGCTAACTCACTCTGACACACAGTGATAGACTCCCGACGCCGCAACAAGTCTTTAAGCTGCGCTGCTAACAGAACATCTAATCCTGGGAGTGACTACTACTTGAACGGACATTATTACAATTTCCCCAGCGTGACCTGTTACATTGTGTCCCTTGAGTAAACATGAGACCCATCTGTTAAGATTTCTCTCCTGGGACCCTCCTCCCCTTAACCAGGTTGCATTTTTGTAACCATTGTCTAAAACAAGTGGCTTAAGTTTCCTCTTCTAAGCAACAGGCTTATTTATGAACTTATTTGCTACAATAGTTCCAGACTGTATTAGTTACAGAAGCTCAAGCACCCTTAGCCCTTAAAGTATGAGAAAAGAATAAAGTAAAGCTCCAAAAAAGGTTTAAAGAAAATAGTTTGGTTTTCGGTTGCAAAGACCTGAACTTCCAGTGCTCCCTGAGGGAGACGTCTGGCATGGCGACCCGCCACCACGGGGCAGGCAGGGCAGGTCCGCGGCAGTGAGAGCACGCTGCTCACCAGTTACTCCCAGGCACAGGGTGGTCGTATGTATTCATGGCAGTCAGCAGTTGTGGCATTCTGACGGCAGTGACATTTCGGAGGTGCCAAGGCCCACGTGAAGGGATGGCGTTCCCTGGGCCGCTAGTCCCTGTTCTCATTCCTCTGTCATGAATTTTTCTGAGACTGTTGGCATCTCTGCACAGCCACATTGCCCTGGGTTGCCTGTGGTAACTCCCTCCTCAGCATGACGTCCACAAGGGTTATTTCAACACTTGAACCGGGGAACAATTAAGCTCTCTGCTGAAACGTGAGGCCAGCCGGAGAGATAGGGTTACTCACAGTCAAGCTCCCCACCCCACCCAGCTCCCAGGAGCTCTCTGCAGCCGCAGGGTCCGAGTAAACAAGGCGGCCAGGAGGCCCTGGGGAGGACAGGTGGCCAGGAAGCCCTGAGTGGTGTTTGGAGACCTGGCCTTGGAGCAGAGTGCCGCCCGTGTCTGGAAGATGCCGGCGGCCCCCGTGGTGGCTCGGAGACCCCTGGGGTGACCTGCACCCACGAGCATGCCTGGATGGTTCAGAAAAGCGAGCTTCGGGCTGGCGTCCCTGCTCAGCGCTGGGGCCTTTGTCCTGCTCCTGGCTGCCCTGGCGGCACCTCGCTGGCTGCATGGGAAAATCCTCTGTCAGACTGGTGCAGAGCTGGTCAACGCCACCGGCCCGGAGCTGGCCACATTCATCGGGGACATTTCCTACGGGCTCTTCCGGGGCAGCAAGGTGCGGCAGTGCGGCCTGGGGGGACGGCAGTCTCAGTTCACAGGTGAGTCCGGCCTGACAGCCGCCCCCGCGCTGCCGAGCGTGCTCCTGTCCCCTGCAACTCCCCACGCGCCTGTCCCACGCACCACGCCAAGGCCGCGAGCCGGGTCTGGGTTGGCACCGGAGCTGGCCCTTCTCCCGTTCCTTTTCTCTGTCTTTCTCCTTCTGTAGTGGACACAGAAAGGTCAGGAAGGACATATGGTCCTGCTCGCCTGTTAGTGCTGACCCGCGGGCCGTGCGTGGGACAGCCGTCCGCTGAGAGCGTCCCGTGCCCGTTCTCAGCCCTGCGTGGGCTTCCAGAGGAGGCCTTACTGCCCCATCCCGCAGAGGCTACACGGGGGCTTGCCCGAGTCACCCGGCCAGGGCGCAAAGCCAGACGCGGGCCCCTGCAGCGTGGCCCAGCATCTGCCCCGGAGTGACGCTGCAGGAAGCCTGGCAGTCGCTCCCATGTCTGAGGAGATGCAGGGGGGTCCGGATCGTATTCGGGGTCTGAAGCCCAGCTGCGGGGCGGGCCAGGCTCAGCTGTTCTCCGTGAACTGCAGCCTGTGGACACGGCATCCACACTGGTTCAGGGAGGCAGGGATCCGAGCCAGGTGTAGAAGGGTCTTCGTAAAATAAAGAGAATATCCTGCAGGTCTTCCAAGTCAGATGCGCAGATTGCAGTGAGAGCTGTGTCCTGCAGAACCGTGGCCAGTGGGTGCCGGGCTGCTGTGAGGGCCCGAGGGCTGTGCTCAGTCCCGGTGTCTGAAGATGCAGGGGCCCGGCCAGAGCACCTCACGCGTGTGGGGGCAGGAAGCCGGGTGCTGGCAAGGCTGCACCAACCGTCCGCATTCATCCACGCGAAGGGAGCACAGGCTCGTGAATATTCGAGAAAAAGGTCTCTAGGCATCTTCGTACTCGCCCGGCCATGAAACTGGGCCCTGGATATTGGAAACATAGCTTCATTAGAGGCATAGCACAAAGGCCGAGCACACACACACATACACATGTACATGTGCACACACATATACACACATATTCATATGCACACACACGTGCACACACACACACACACGAAGAACAGAACAAAGCCAGTGTGGGAGTGCTGGACAGCCACATGCAGTCCTGGACCGAGGCTGGCCCTCCGCCGTGAAGGGCTCAGGGACCCCGGGCGCCTCGCAGCCCCCCCCCCGCCCGCCACTCCCAGCTCACCGAGGTCTGCACTGCCTCAAATCAGAGCGGACAAGCACGCGTGCTCGCTGACCCTCACTGGACCTGTTCCAAAGGTCCGCCAGGACCCTTCCCCTCGTCCTCGCCCTTCTTGGGATGCCCAGGCCGACCGTCTCGCTGGGCCTTCGATGACGCTCAGGCCTCTGAAGCTAGAGCCCTGTGAGAACGTGCAGGGCCCTGGGCTCAGCCTGCTAGGTGCATGTGACCGGCTGTGCTTCCGGCTGGCCTGCTGCTGGGGGTGACACACGCAGGGCTCCGGGGACACGCTCCTCTAGGCCTGTCCCAGGGCCAGGCCCTCCCCGTGTTGGGCCGACTGTGCCACAGTTTGCAGCACCACAGGTCCCCGACGTCTCCGACTCAGCTCCGAGCAGGACTGGGCTTTGCTACATGCCGTTGCCCCATGTGGGGAGAGCGTCCCTGATCCCAGGCCAGTGCGGACAGCACAGATGCTGTGAACGCACATCATAGCCTGTGAGAGGAGTTTCTCCCGGGCCGTGTTTACTAACACATCACAGGCAGCGCCCACAGCGTCCCCCAGGGAATGGGTCCTCGCCCCAGCCGTGGAGAAAACCCGAGAACTGCTCCTCACAGATCAGTGACTCAGCACATTTGCTGGTCTGCTGAGTGTTTCTGGAGAGCACTCGTAGGACGCCGGGCCAGGCAGACTGCCAGGGCCTGCCCTGTACCGCATGCCGGCTGTGAAGGAGACGTGGGGTAAAAGCATGCCAGGCCACGGACAAGCCACAGGCCCGGCCCC